TTCTCTTAGAAGTACTTCAGTAGACAAGCATTTCCATTCTATGAGTAAATTACCTAGAAGTAGAAATGCTGAGTTGTATGCTATGTTAAAAGAAACTCCCACACACAGTTTTCCAAAGTGGCAGTATCATTTTGCATTTCCACTAGTAATTTATAAGATTTCCAATTGCTTTGCATCCTTGGCAGTATTGTCAGTTTTTGTTGTTGTTGTTGTTTGTTTGTTTTTTATTATAAGCCAGGCATAGCCGCAGTTACTTGGGACGCTGAGGTAGGAGGCTCACTTGAACCCAGGAGTTTGAGGTTGCAGTGAGCTAGATCACACCACTGTACTCCAGCATGGGCAGCAGAGTGAAACTCCATATCTAGAAAATATTTTAAAATAATTAAGTAAAAACTGTAGACATTCTCTTGGGTTTTCAGTGGTATTGCATTGTGCTTTTAGTTTGTATTGCCCTAATGACTAATGATATTGAACATTGACTAATGATATTGAACATTCATGAGCTTCATGAGCGCATTTGCCGTCTGTTTCTCTTCCTTAGTAAAGTGTGTAATCAAATCTTTTGATCATTTTTTAATTGAGTTGTTAGTTTTGTTTCATTATTGGAATGTGACAGTTATTTAGATACTTCTCGATATTAATTTTTAAAATCAGATACATGATTTGCAAATATTTTCTCCAAACTCTTGACTAGCATTTTTATTCTCTTACCAGTGTCCTATTATACACTGTCATTTGTAGTGAATTGGGGTTGTTTCTTGCCTTCACCCCTGTCATCTTGGACAGCAGGGTAAGGAGATAGGTGGTGCCATTGGCTTCTCGTCCAATGCATAACACTCTGGCTGTAGCTTAAGGTCTATTATAGGTTGAATGTTTTGTGTTTACCCCAAATTTACATGATGAAATCTAATCCCCAATGAGATGGTATTAAGAGATGGGGCCTTCAGGACATAATTAGGTCATGAGAGCTTGTTCTTGCTCTCTGCTCTCCATTATGTGAGGACACAATGAGAATCTAGACATCTGTAAACCAAGAGGTAGGCCCTCACCAGACACTGGATTTGCCAGCACCTTGATCTTGGACTTCCCAGCCTCCAGAACCATGAGAAATAAATGTTTACTGTTCAAGCCTATGGTACTTTGTTATAGCAGCTCATACTGACTAAGACAAGGTCAATCTCCTGAGAGAAGAATATTGACCTAAACACTGGATTCTTCACTTCTGTAACTGTAGAGTACACAGAATAATTGGGAAAGTTTGGTTAGTATGCAGATTTCCAAGCTCCACTTCCAGAGATGTTTATTCAGTACCTGTGAAGTGAGACCTAGATTGTTGCAATATTTAATAAGCAGCCAGATTATCCTGATACAGGTGACTCTGGGATGAGACTTTGAGAAATCCTGAATATCTAAAGCCACTCATAATGCTTCATGTGTGGTGTGGTAAAGATGCAAAGTCTATGTCCAGGCCTAAACAAGATGGTGAGGTATAAGTCAGCGCAGGGGATGTTGCCACACAATTAGACAAAAAGAGAAGAATCACCAAGAATGCAGGAATTTTAGGACATTTTTACTCAACATTCAGCCTATTCCCTTATCCATCACTTTGCTATCATAGCTTTCGTGTGTGATATTTTATTTGAATATAAACTGGAGGGGAAAGGTTGTTGACAAATAAATAAATTATGGCACATTAAAAAATATCAATCAGGCTGGTGTGGAGGCTCATGCCTATAATCCAAGAACTTTGGGAGGCCAAGGTGGGAGGATCGCTTGAGGCCAAAAGTTCAAGACCAGCCTGGGTAACATAGCAAGACCTCATCTCTATTAAAAAAAAAAATTAATTCTTAACCTTGATCCTGAATAAGAATATTGTCTCTTTATGTCATACATTACTGGGCTGCCAGCTATGGTGCTGTGATGGATTCTGGTTCATATTTTTAGGTCCACTGTTCTTACAGGAAGTCATCATGACCTTTTTCAACAGGGATGTGTGGAAGGTCTTTGGTCTTACAATAATACTTTTCTAGACAAAAGTAGAACTTGTCCTGCTTATTTTCAAACAAATTCATGAAGGATGTTGGAGTATGCATCATTATTGTTTTTCAGAGAAAAGGAAACACAAACAGTAGCAACAAAACACCCAACTTCTATGTAGGGGCAAAGGGAATTTTTCCCTTCCCCTCTGAAGGTTTGAGTCTGCTGAAATAAACTGACAAAGAGGAGAAAGGGCATACAAGTTTATTAATGTGTAAGTGTATATGGGAGTCATACAAAATATGATACTAAGAGAAGGGCCAGATGGGTAAAGCTTAAATAGTACATTCTTCATAGAAGGGAGAGAAATAGAGGAATGTAGGCAATTTTGAGGTGTAGTAAATGATTTTCAGGGGAAATGAATGAGCCCATAGAACAGACAATAGCCTGGGACAAAATTTCTCTGAGCTCTGGGAGAGGTGACTGACAAATTTCAAGAAGGTGAGAGGTAGAACTTCACTATGAACAAAGGTTGTCTTATCATGTAAGTAAAATCTTCCAGGTAATCTCTTGGACCTTCCCTCAGAAGAATAGAGGAAAAGTCTGCCTGGGCATGGGGGTGACCTTTAGTCTTTTCTCTTCTTTGGTGGCCAATCTTTCCTGGTTATTTGATGAGATTGATAGATAAGGGGTTTTAAGACAATTGAATTCTTTTGCAAGAAGTTTTCTTCCCACAGATAAAGGAACTCCCAGAGAGAGCCCCTTCATGCACTTTAAGGGTAGAAACAAGGGAAGGTTACAAAATCCTTGGTTCTAAAGGCAGCTTTTAAGGACTTCCAATTTCCTTCACTTCAAAAGTGCTCAGCATGCCACAGCTGATACTTTGGGGTATCATTTTTCTGAGCCCCAACCTCTATAAAATCCAGGTATCCAGATATTTGGACTGTGTAATACCAAACAACCAGCTGATCTGAAGTTTTTCTTGAATTGGACAAACTATTCTGACATTGCATAAGTACAACCAGCATGATTTAAGTTTTATCTGCAGACAGAAACCAATTGGGACTGACCTGATTTTCTATGTTAATTAATCAAATATTGTTGTTCATTGGTACCTCTCAGCTAAAAGAATTTAAAAGACCTGTTACTTTAATCCTGTTGTGGAATGTTTTTTAAAACTTACAGCTAATTAACAAATCTTCATGGGCAACTGGAGCACCTCAGGCTCTGGTAAACGTAAGGGATCAATGGTTATTAATCAAAGGTGGTGTAGTTGGAAGACGCCTGGAGTAGGAGGCAAGAGACCTAGGTTCTACTGCTTGCTTGAGCTGAACTGTGCTTCCTTAAGCTTCCATGAGAGTAGATACCTTCTAGAAAAAAAAAAAAAAAAATAGAGAGAGAGAGAGAAACTAGATACTTAAGGAAACATACATTTGTAAAAAGACTAAAACCAAAGTGATTACAGTCTAAATATAATTCATTCCCAAAACAGGCAAGCAAACAAACAACAAAACAATCCTAACAATGTAGGTGTTTATGTACCTCCCATGTAAAAAGGATCTGAAACCCTGAAGCCACAGGATTCAACCAGGCAAGTAGAGAATTATTTTCTTTATTTTAAAACAATACTCAAGTCATGCATAATTCATGCTGAAAAATTAGAAAATAAGGAAAAAGAAACTAATCAATGAATAAAATCAATTAAAACTCTACCACTCAGTAAAAACCACTGCTTAGCGTATCAGTGCTATATTCGTCCATAGATCCATATACATATGTGATGCATGTATATTTCAAATGGGATCATGTTGTAGCCGCTGTCCTGAAATCCTGAAATCTGCTTCTTTGAGCTAATGCCGTATTGTGAAGCAACTTGCATGCTAATAAATATGCATCGTCATCACCCATTGTAATGACTACATTATATTCCATTGTAGGCTTGAAAATATTAACAACTGCCGGGCACGGTGGCTCATGCCTGTAATCCCAGCACTTTGGGAGACCGAGGCGGGCAGATCACAAGGTCAGGAGATCAAGACCACCCTGGCGAACACGGTGAAACCCCGTCTCTACTAAAAATACAAAAAATTAGCCGGGCGTGGTGGTGGGCACCTGTAGTCCCAGCCACTCAGGAGGCTGAGGCAGGAGAATGGCGTGAACCTGGGAGACGGAGCTTGCAGTGAGCCGAGATCACACCACTGCACTCCAGCCTGGGAGACAGAGCAAGACTCCATCACAAAAAAAAAAAAAGAAAAAGAAAGAAAATATTAACAACTAACAAATCTAGTGCTTCCTCTGTGCCCAGCACTTTTCTAAGCACTACAACAGCATGCCTGTAAGGTAGGTAGTATGATTACTCCTGTTTTACAGACAGGGAAACTGAGTTAAGGAGAAGGTAATTAACTTGCCATCTGGGGTTCAACCCCAAATGGTCCAGGATCAGAATCCGAGCTCTGAATACCTGGCCATGCTGCTCCTTGCCTCTTCCTTTTGGTTGGATCTTTACGTTATGTCTAATAGTTCATTATTTTAAACAGTGCAGGTTAATTTAAACCTCTATGTCCTCAAAAGAGTGGTGGTGGAGGGTGGAGGTAGTGTCATGCGCGTCCGTGTGAAGAGACCACCAAACAGGCTTTGTGTGAGCAACATGGCTGTTTATTTCACCTGGGTGCAGGCGGGCTGAGTCCGAAAAGAGAGTCAGCAAAGGGAGATAAGGGTGGGGCCGTTTTATAGGATTTGGGTAGGTAAAGGAAAATTACAGTCAAAGGGGGGTTGTTCTCTGGTGGGCAGGAGTGGAGGTCACAAGGTGCTCAGTGGGGGAGCTTTTCGAGCCAGGATGAGCCAGGAAAAGGAATTTCACAAGATAATATCATCGCTTAAGGCAAGGACCGGCCATTTTCACTTCTTTTGCGGTGGAATGTCATCAGTTAAGGCGAGGCAGGGCATTTGCACTTCTTTTGTGATTCTTCAGTTACTTCAGGCCATCTGGGCGTATATACGTGCAAGTCACAGGGATGCGATGGCTTGGCTTGGGCTCGGGCTCAGGCCTGACAGGTAGAAGGGGAAGCGTTGATAACAGATGACTTTTTAATAAGAGAGTAAAAGAGAGACATTCTTTTGGGTAAAATCAGATTAGAAGGTGTTCATTCTTATGGTAAAAGTGAGAGTTCATAAAATTACTATAGTTACTTAGGGGAGGGGGAATTTTCAGGCATGTGCAGAAGGCATACTTGCAGGACTGTGAGACAGACAGATTCCACTGATTACATAAATCTACATAGAAGAAAATGTTAGTAGCAACTGCGTAGTAGAAAATAGTAACCCTGCTAATGAAAATACAGAGTTAATTTTCTGTAGTCTGAACTTCGACCCATTGTGAAGACAGAATTAGAAGTCCTTGGCAATTAGAGTAGGAACTTGCTGTGAAGGAAGTGAGCATTCATTTGAGACTGGGTGTGGTGGGAAGTAAGCAAAGGATGACTCACAGACAGATCAGTGGACAAGGCGAGGCTGGGCCTGGGAGGAGCGGGGAGATCTGAACGAAGCTAGGCAGGCGCTTCTCTGTTCAGACTCGCTAGGCATCACTGGCTCACTCTGGACACGGAATATCTTTACTTATAGCTGCACATCATTATTATTTCATTTTAAAAGTTACACAACTGGCATATTCCCACTGTAGAATAGTTTTAAAGTAGAGATGAATAATAAGAAAGTAAAGTGAAATCCATCCATCACCTTAAACATTCTTAGATACCCATATTAAGAGTTGGCATATTATTTTCACATTATTTTCCTACATACTTTAAAAACAAAGATGGGATTTTCACCACTCAACAATAAACATATAATTGCATCATTTTTAATATAATGGGATGCTATGTAGGCATTAGAAATGATAAAAATATGTTATTTGACCAAATAGTAATGGGCATTGTACCTACATAGTCTTAACTAGCCAGCAGCCATTTTTCCTTTGGTTCATGGAATTCGTGAATTCTACAAAGTTAATCTTATCTTGGGGTGATCTCATTGACTTTTAAGTGCTGCTGCAATTAAGTAAGAGTGGGGATGGGGTATGAACTTCAGGAGTAAAACAAAAACAAAAACAAAAACAAAACAAAACGCTTTATTACAATATCTTTTCCAAACTACTTTGGCTGGCCCAGAGGAGGTCAGGAAACGAGGAGAGCGATTATCATTAAATCTTATTCCTCTCTTTACAGCCATATTAACCTGAAAGAACAAAAATGTAGAATACTTTCCTCATCTTCTCACTTTTTCTCTAACTATCACATAGTAAGGAATCCAGAAGAATAAGGCTACAAAGCTACAGGCAAAACAGTAACAGGAATGGCAAGCGTGTCCTGTTTATGGACTAAAAACACAGAGCATTCCTTGGAAAGCCAACCTTTTGATAGTGAGATTAGAAAGAGGTTTTCTAGGGCAGCACAGGTCCAAATATTAAACACGAGTCAGATCTTATGAAAATCTAAGCAGGTCATAGAACAACCCAATGAGCTTAGAAGAGAGGAGAGCTATAGTTAGAATGCATGGACCCTTGATTATCTTATTTCCATGAGCTCTAATTAGCATAGTACAGAAGACATTAATGCAATCAGCCACAATATTTATTGAGTTTCTACTATGTGCCAGATGGTTTTGTGGGTGGTGGGTATGCAATGCTGAACAAAAGTATCATGGTGACTACCCTCACAGAACTTATAAATTAGCAGCAGGGTGGGGGGTGGGGGATGGTAAACAAGTGAACAGGTAGACAAATAAATCATTCTAAAGAGGGACAAGATTCTAAATAGACATTTTTCCAAATAAGCTATTCAAATGGCTAATACCCACATGGAAAGATCCTCAATTAGTCATTAGGGAAATACAAATCAAAATCACAATGAGATATTTCATCAAACATACAAGAAGGACTATTATAAAAAAAAAAGACAAACAACAACAAATGTTGGTGAGGATGTGGAGAAATTAGAACTCTTTTATACTGCTGATGGGATTGTAAAATGGTAGAGCCACTTGGGAAAACAGATTGACAGTTCCTCAAAAGTTTAAACACAGAGTTACCATATTGTTTCCTTATGCAATAAAGAATTTGGGGCAAACCCATAGGGTAAAGTGAAAGAAAGCAAAGGAATAAAAGAATGGCTACTTCATAGGAGTAGGATCACTCCATAGCAGTGGCATGAGCTGCCCGACTGAGTATACTTATAGTTGTTTCTTGATCATATACTAAACAAAGGGTGGATTATTCATGAGGTTTCTGGGAAAGAGGTGGGCAATTCCTGGAAGTAAGGGCTCCTCCCGTTTTTAGATCATTTAGGGTAACTTCTGGACATCGCCATGGCATTTGTAAACTGTCGTGGTGCTGGTGGAAGTGCCTCTTAGCATGCCAATCCATTATAACTAGTGTATAATGATCAGTGAGGACAACCAGAGTTCACTTACGTTGCCACTTTGCTTTTGGTGGGTTTTGACAAGCTTCTTTACTGCAACCTGTTTTATCAGCAAGGTCTTATTGACCTGTATCTTTTGCTGACCTCCTATCTCACCCTGTGACTAAAAATGCCTAACCTACTGGGAATGCAGCCCAGCAGGTCTCAGCCTTATTTTACTCAGCCCCTATTCAAGATGGAGTCACTCTGGTTTGAACGTCTCTGACAAGATGACCCTGCAATTCCTGTCCTAAAGAAAACAAAAACATACATCCACACAAAAACCTGTACACAAATGTTCATAGCAGCATTATTGATAAAAGACAAGAAGCAGAAACAACCCAAATGCCCAGCAACAGATGAATGGATCAACAAAACGTGAATAAATAAAATATACATACGGTGGAATATTATTCAACCATAAAAAGGATTGAATTATTGATACATGCTACAACATGGATCAACCTTGAAAGCATCATGCTAAGTGAAAGAAATCAGTCACAAAATACCAGAAATTGTATAATCCCATTTATAAGAGATGTCCAAAATAGGCAAATCCATAGAGACAGAAAGTAGGTTAATGGTTGCCAGGGACTGAGGGTATGGGGGAATGGGGCGAGACTGCTAATGGATATGGGGTTTTCTTTGGAGGTGATAAAAATGTTCTAAAGTTGATCATGGTGACAGCTACACATCTTTGTGAATGTACTAACAGCCACTGAATTGTACACTTTAACAGGATCAATTGTACGATTTGTGAGTTATTCCTTAATAAAGCTCTAAAAAACAAAAGGTGATGAAGTGTGTTGAGGAAACAGAACGAGGCCCTGAGGCACGAAAGCGCCTTGTGTGCTCCAGGAATGAAAGAGGAGGCCCATGTGATCAATGCTCTAGAAGACTTGGAGGGGACAGCGGATCTCGTGCTTAGGCACATGAAGTCAGTAATTATGGCACTTTGGGATTATGTTCAATGGGCAGTAGAAAGTCCTTGAAGGCTGTAACACCCAGCAGTTATGTGACTCAACTTTTATTTTTAATAGCTCTTTGTTCCTGAATTGTTAGGGCAGAATTAGATTGCTGTTATAGCTCCTAAAACCAGATAGAGATCCTTAACTTAAAAATTTGGTGTTAAAATTAGCAAGGGGCTATTTTCTTTTGATTTAGTACACATACTAGGAAAATGAGGATATCAAAATGCTTATTCCTTAATAGCACAAAAGAAGAGCCTTATTATAGTAAATAATGTAAGTTTTTCATTTTTTTAAACCTGAGCATATTCTGTTGCTTCTATAGGACACAAGTTGAGAATTAAACCATTTATTCATGCTCAGTATCACACTTATATTACACATAGGTTCAGGTTTAATTGCATTGAAGAGAAGGAGGGAGTAGAAGATGTCTAGCAAAAGTCATGGTGGAGCGAGCCAAGGCATTCCTGTATGTCAAATGTGGGATCATCAGTCTATCTGCACAGGGCACAGGGGACTGGGAATTCTTCTGGCTTCTTGGTTGAAAATGTGAAGATGTTATTGGGACTAATGATTGAATTGCACAGATTTGGAGACTAATACTCCCAGATGAAAAGAGATGGGCTTTGCCAACCTCAGGGAGGGCAAGTAAACAGCTCAGGAAAATGAGGAGCAGAACTGTGCTGGAAGGCTGCTGAAGGCAGTGTGCTCAGCCTGGGACAGCAACTCAGAGCCCAGCAGTGGGGAGTGAACAAGCTCCACTGTGGCACCTGCCAGGGGTCCCAAAAATGCCCAGGTTTTTGTTTTTGTTTTTGTTTTTTTAATGGAGTCGCACTCCGTTACCTAGGCTGGAGTGCAGTAGCACAATCTCGGCTCATTGCAACCTCTGCCTTCTGGGCTCAAGCGATTCTTGTGCCTCAGCCTCCCGAGTAGCTGAGACTACCGGCACATGCCACCACGGCCAGCTAATTCTTGTATTTTTAGTAGAGACGGGGTTTCACCATGTTGGCCAGTCTGGTCTTGAACTCCTGACCTAAAGTGATCTGCCCACCTCAGCCTCCCAAAATGCTGGGATTACAGGCGTGAGCCACCACGCCCGGCCAGATGCCCAGGTTTTTGTGAACCCTTCCCAAGTTCTTCAACAGCATGAGGCTTGTGAAACTTCCGGAAACAATTTCCCTTCACAGCTCCTGGTAATGACATGAGCAAGACAAGAAACAAAATATAGGAGGAGTGGCACTTAACAATTTTAGTAGAACATTCAGGTACACACATGTGCGCACGTGCACACACACGCAGGCCCCCCGCAAGCACCATGCTAGGGAATTCCAAATATGTTAAAACCTGGTGAAGAGAATCCATGGGGAGGAGAGAAGATTGGTGAGCCTGATTCTTCATAATTTAATTACCATTATCTTTGAATGCATTCCATTGCTTGATTGTATTATAATTTACTTAGTCTTGTAACTATAGACCTTCAGGTTTCTTTCAACTTTTTAGCATGACAATGTTGAAACATGTATCTATCTGTCTACCTCTCTGCTGGGACTACAATCATGTGCCATATAATCTTTAAAAGAAGTCACCAAATTGCTGTCCAAAAACACTGAAAAACTTTATTTGTCCATCAACAAGTGTATATAAATGTATGCTAACACCCTTGCCATTACTAGGTGTTATAAAATTTAAACTTTTTGGACAACCCATAGTTTAGTATAACATCTCATTGTTGTTTTGATTTTCGTTTTGATTTTTCTTTTTTTCTTTTTGAGACTGGGTCTTGCTTCATCACCCAGGCTGAAGTGCAGTGACACAATCAAAGCTCACCTCAGCCTCGACCTCCCAGGCTCAAGTGATCCTCCCACCTCAGCCTCCTGAGGAGCTGGGACCACAGGAACGTGCCACCACACCCAGCTTTTTATAATTTTTTTTTTTTTTTTTTTGTAGAGACAGCATCTCACTATGTTCTCCCAGACTGGTCTCAAACTCCTGAGCTCAAGTGATCCCCCTGCCTCAGCCTCCCAAGATTTTTGATTCTTAAATTATAAGTCAGAATGAGTTCACTGGCCATTTGTTTTTTTCCCCTCCCTTCCCTTCCAGAAACTTCCTGCTTGCCTGTTTTCTATTGGATTATCCATCTGCTCTTAATGATTTGTGTGAGCTTACTGTCATATCTGTTGCAGTATTTGCTCCAGTCTTTTGGTTTAGAAATAACGTTTTCTGAAATAAAGAAGTTTATATTTTTTATGTAG